GACGCGTCCTCTGAGCGCAGCGGCCAGTCTCGCTGCCGCGTTGGTCAAGTGTCGATCCCTCCTTTGAGCTGCTGCCTCAGGATATTGCTTTTGAACTGGCTCTAGCAAGCGGTCGGTTCAACTGTTGTCGTTGCAGGGAAATCAATCCGTCTTTGAGAACAGGGTGAGTATATGTAGTGCACACTTCATCCGTGATGTAGGGAGCGGGAAAGCTATAGGTAATAAAAATTGTTATGTTCGTTGTGGTTGTACGGCATGTGAATTACACTCGTGCTGTCGCATGTTTGATCAGTTATCATGGACAGAAGATGTTTGGTCTCATTGTCAAGTGTCGTTACCTAATGGTTGCATTGAAGGTTTGAAACCTGAATTACCAGGCATACCATGTAAAATGTCAGATGTGGGTTATTTTTTAGTGATTTTTAGTGTGTCCCAGGCTTTGATTAATTACCTCTTGGTCATTTTCAGATGCTCTCTTCGCACAGTGGTGAACCGCCCGACCAGATACCAGCCGTCTAGTTTCGCGGTGGCTCTCTGAAGCCCGTGACGGCAGACGGACACACTGTCCGCAGAGGAGCCGACACGAACAAGGCACAGGCCTGCTATAATGACTGTGAACACCGGAAGTGAGTCCGCTGTGCCAGCGCCTTGCAAGTTGCAGCGGCGCTAAGATGATGGCCGACGCCACGAATGTGCTGGCCATGCTGTGAATTTGTAAAAATTTGACCTGTGTGCAACCAGTAAATTTGTGAATATATTTCAGTGTCCAATGTAATTCATTTTGTCGTGCAGGTATTAGGTATAAAGGTTGAATTGGAGAATAATGAAGAGGCGAGGGGGTTGCGGTGGCGCAAGCAAAGTGGTCGCATCTGCATAACAGCAATCTGCGGTTATGAGACTGCGGTTAATATGTCAGATGCCTGCGGTATTCCCGAACCGGCCGTGCGGGCCGAGTTGGGACATCCCGATCGGGATCGGAGTTCATCGCTTGTTAAAATGCCATAAGGCGGTCCGGATGCGTGCGGGATTTCCGAACCGGTTGTGCGGGGAGATTTGGGGAATCCCGATCGGGATCGGAGTTCAGCGCTTGTTAAAACGTCATAAGGCGGTCCGGATACGTGCGGGATCTCCCAAACGGCCGTGCGGGGTAGGTTGGGATATCCGGACCGTTCCAGCCCGTACAAAGTGTCTCATTTCCCAATCCCGTCCCACTCCGGTCCCGATCGGGGTGGTGCGGGCTGAGTCCGAAAATCCCGATCGGGAACGGAGTGGGATTGCTGGCTGGGTAGATGGCAGCACAATGGGCTTCACGTCTCGGCTTTGGGGAAGGTTTTCAGAGTGTCTTTTAGTGTTGTTTCCATTCCAGTATGAAGGAACTGGCATGTTTTTATGTTTTTGTCGCCATTAGCCCTATATTTGATCACATTTGTAATATATTCCAGCTTGAAAACTACACAATTCAGCGAAAAATCGCATTTAACTCGCGGTTGTTTCCAGTAACGTGTCTAACGGCAAATGAGAGCTGTCTGACCATGGGCTCTGGAACCTTTGGGACCTAGGAAATGGAACATGAGAGCACTGGGGCACCGTGTCCGCTTTAACTATGACAATAAACACTAATTATCCCATGGACGTTGCCAGGAAAGTGTGATAGTTTGCAGCGTCTCTAGGCCATTTAACGGCGCTGTGCAGCCTGAAAAAGACAATTGTCTACAAATGAGATCTGTATTGCACGAGTTACCGCACTGTGTGCCCATAACATACTTCACATAAAATACGACGGACGCACAGCGCCAGACAAGCAGCGCTCATCACAGCGGGACGACGGAAAACACAGCATTGTATGTACAAGGTCTTTGCGCAGTAAATAAGTTTCTTATCGTCCGTGCCTGGCTTTTCCTGTCGCCCCGATCGACGCGCCCGACTCCCGGTCTGCTGCTGAATTTGGTGCATTCAGCTCTCCGAGCTGTCTATCCCTCCTTCTCTGCTGTGGTTTTGACTGGGCGGTACTTCTTCTTCACCACCTGTCCTGGGTTTCGCCTCCTCCACGCCAGCTTGTTTAGCGCATGGCCGTCCTGTCGCCGAGCCCCTCTGACCTGCCCGGCCGCCTCCGTCGTCACTTTGACGGCTCGCTCCGTGGACTGCGTATGACACGGCAGTCCGGTCAGGAGCGGGGTCTCCAAAAACTTCTCCAACTGGTCTCCGGTCATCCCTTGGCGCCATGGCGAAGCTGTGTCAGCGACTGCCGCCCTTTATGAGATTGACCCATTACGTGCGAGCGGCGCCTCGGGCGCTGACATGTGACCTAGAGCTGCTGGATTTATTTATGACGAACCGCAATTTTCTAAATCTGAACAAAGCATCTACCTTGCTAGTAGCAATGTCCCTCGTAACAGACTGAGTGCTCCCGTAAGTGGTTGAAAGGGAATAACATGCATACCTATAACGGTTGTTATACATACTATATAGGATAAAATATAAGACTAATGGAGACAAAAACAAAAATATGAATTTTTAATGCGGATATGGAAATGACAATAAAAGACACACTGAGAGCCCTCCATAAAGCTGGTACTCAAAATCCACACACTTTAAAACACGTTATTGAGCGTAAAAACGCATCATCGTTTTTCGGGCACGCGTGTTTTTCATGCTTCAGTATGCATGCAAGGTGAAATGAATGTGATGGAAATGTGGTAAACATCGAAATGTACAAGTTTCCTTCTGCTGAAGAGGAAATAATAATACAAACCACGTCGAGAGCCAATCACAGGCGTCCCGTCCATGGTACGAATGTGCAGCCATCTACTGACCGGTTCTGAAAGCTCGAGCTAAACGGGCGGCCGACGCTCATCGGAAAATCTTCGATAAAAACTGGTAAAATGGGAGTAGAGGTATGAAACTTACCATGCCGGCGCAGAATTAGTGTGGTAACTTATATTATGCCATTTCACTATGCTCTTTAAATAGAAACTATTGAATAGCTGCACCGAAAATGTCAGAATCGCAAAAACAGGCTCATTTTTCCATCTTTAAATTTTGGGGCGGGCTTTCAAATTCAAAAATTCTGGTCAAAAATGGTATTTTCGTGCTCAGGGCATCAAGCCACGTCGATCTAGGGGCGTGCTGGCTAGCTTCTAAAAAAAAGTTGCAAAAAGGGTCACCCTAATAGGTCACCGTCCTTTGCCGACGCGACGGCCGCGTCCAAACCCGATCAGTTTTTTCACCATTATCACCAGGAAGAGCACCCGACAATCCTCTTTCTGGCACGAGCGAATATCAATATAGCATCAGCCGACAACGAGAGTGTCCGTCCACGTCCACCGCGAATCGCAAAACCGATATCGAATCGAACTGCAGCAAGCACCTTTTCTTCGGTGTCACCATCGCACCGGAGGAGATCTCGTTTGAAATAAATGCCTTCTTTGTTGAGCAAAATAAAACAGTCTTAGAGTGAACGAAATGCGTAATTCAAATTAACGGGAGCATCAAGCGAGCTTTAGTAGTTTTCGCCAATGCACAGTGGCCCTTTTTCAGAATTAGCACGCATTAATTCCCACATTACCTGAAAGTGGTGCAAGACATCACCACGTGATCAAGGACGTATTCCCTGCCAATGCAAAGACAAGAAAAGAAACGAACTGCCCAAGGAGATTCGGCCCAACAGCGACAGGCCGCTCGGCCCAAGATTTGGCGCACGTTCGCACGGCTCGCCCGCCGGCCCAGGCCGCTCCGAACGCAAGTGTGGCGAGCCCGCCAGCCGACCGCGCTGCACTGACCGCCAGGACGCCCCAGGGCGTCACGTGACCGCATCTGCAGCTGTTGCCAGCCACCGTTAGTCGGCCCCGGCCGGGCAGCAACTAAGGTCAGCGCGACGCGAACAATACAAACACATAGGCGCTTTTGACGTTAGATCTTAAGCCGACCACGGGACTTGTGCGGCTTGGACATCAAACGCGACAAGAAATCGGACAGTTTTTCTTGAGCACAGCGTTATGCCTACATGACATTTCAATAAGCACATCTTATGGCAAAAGTCAAGCCACATTTAGGCGCCCACCAGGTGACACCAGCTTCGAGCCAGGTCAATGAGCTTAGTCGTATCGAACAGGAGCCTCAGCCGCTCGCGGACTGAACTGGCTCACGTTCTCCACCGTAGAAGCAAAATGGCGCAAAATGGCGCGATGCCCTTTGGTGGACATGGTCAGAAGAGATCGGCGATTCGAACGATGTATAATACGACATGTTCCAGAGTGTGCTACTTAACATAAAGCTTCATATGTATGCCGCCATCTCCAGTTAATAATTGTCCTGTTATTGTGTCCACAATATTCGGCAAAAGTGGTCTATTTCAGTTTATATAATGAAAATTGTGGTTTCTAGGGCTTCTACGTAAACTCAGCTTCACAGCCATGCCACTAATTTTTAATATTTTCTCACCGAAAGCCTTACAAATTGATGTTCATATCACCCTACTTTTTAGGGTCCGCCGGTGGTGTCCGCGCGCCTCTCGACAAACTTCGATTTTGCGGTCAGTTTTACCAAAGATAATTATTTTTAGGAGGTAAAAATGGCACCATCGGATAGTTTGGAATGTTTTGCACACGATTAGACTGCTTTTTACTCAAAAGAAGAGAAAAAATATTTTGAATTTATGCGTGCTAATTCTGAAAAGGGCCACTGTGCAATGGCATGCGTCCCGTAAGGGCACCGCACCTTGTTTACATAGTTACTCGCTGCTGCAGCCTGCAACCGCTTTGAGATAGCATGACTCACTGCACCCTAACTGAAAATCGTCTCAGCCTGGGTGAGTGGGCTTAGTGAAGCTGGTCGAGGATGCTGGTGCCGGCTGGCCGCGGCAGATTTCGAGCACGTGAGTTAGCCGGCTGAGTCAGCTGGTCGCTGGGGTCGTCGCCCCTCCGCGGGACAATCGACCGACGAGACGACCCCGTCTACCGCCGGCCGGTGAGTCAGGGCGGGGCGGACGGCTGGATACTCACCCGGGCCGGTCGGCGGCGGCGCTGGTCAGCACACAGGTCACCAGCCACACACGGACAGCCTGGCTCCCCGCTCCACGCATTGCCGCGGCACTACTGAGCGGTTCGCGCCGCTGGCTGCTGACCGGCCGGCCGTGCCCGCCGGCGGCGTACAAAGGGGCAGCCGCACCGCCAGTATCGACCGCGCCGGCCGCCGCGCCGTGCCGCCCGGCACGTGCCGCGCGCCCGGCTCTGGAGGGGCGCCGAGACGCGCCCCCGTGCAGACGAGGCACGCGCCATCTGGCGGTCCCGCGGTCCGAAACATCCGAGCATCTCATCAACGCGGCAGTTACACATCCGGGGAGGTAACGGGGAGGGGAGGGAGGGGCAGCGGAAACGGCGCCCGCGGGCATCTGTCGGGGAGGGTAGAGCTAGATGGGGGTCGGATAGCTTGTGTTTTCAAAGTGATGCAAATGTCGCGAAAAAATGGGGAGTCAGATTCAGCACTGCAAAGTGCATACTGCATAGTGCATAGACATCGGTCGCCTTAATTTCAAATTACTATGAATAGGTGTGTTATCTTTCTAGCCTTTGGTCGAACGAACCGCGCCAAGCGCCAAGCGAAGTCTTCGTAATGCCCAGATGCAGATGAAAATTATGAGCATGCATGAGCCGTGAGCGACCGGGAGACCATGGCCCATAAAGGCCCATAACTAAGCAGACGCTGTGCCGATTTACTTGTGATGTCCGCTGTAGTTTCAAACCTTCGACCAAGTATCGTACATACCTAGGTACTATTCTCAATGCTTGTGGGTGGCTAACACGGCACGTTGACGTGTCCGCCGTCCAGTGGCGCGTGCAGAATAAAAAACGTGTGAATTTCTTTTAATACAATTAACTCAGCGATTATTGGGGTGGTTGCACTGAAACTTGGCATATCGCCCAGGCACTCACTGGGAAGTGGCCAGTGCATTTCCATGCATCTCGGTTGAGGTGATATTGCACGTATTTAGGTGCAATAGTCGCTTTCACATCTCGAGAACGGCTGGGGTGATTACGCTCAAATTCGGTACACTACCGTTTGGAGTCGTTTAAGGGGTAACACGCACGAATCATTTCTCACTTTGCACGTGCGCACGTCCAAGGTACACTCGGGGCGGGGGCAGATTGATGTTCCACCACTCCCTGCCCCAGGGCCTCGTCTAAGGAATTTTCACTGGGGGGGCCAGAGCCTGAAGGAGCCAAACCTAGGGTACCCCCAAATCCTGTTTTCTCACCGGATTTAGACCACTTATTTTCATCTTAGCCCTGACACCATTTTTTTTTTTGAAAACTAAAGAAAAAATAATAGGCCATCCGACCCATGCTTTTATATTAGTTTGTAGCCTCGCCTCCTCACATTGCCCCATCAGACAGTAATAATTACACTTATCGGTGTTGAGCGTTTGTTTGAGTGGCAGTGCCTTGTCTAAGGAATTTGCATGCCGAGCTTTATGTCGGGGGCCCACACGCTGATAGACTGAGCGCTTGACTCTGGGCTCTGCCGAGCTCTGAGGGCTAATACCAGCTTCTGGACCCACGCCGGCCTCTATGGTAGCCCACACTGGTTTATATGATCCATACCAGGCTTTAAGGGTCAATCTGAGTTGAGACAGTATTTTCCCACTAGGGCCCCCTCAGACTAGTGTAATGCCTATGCATCAACTTGGATACTGATGGCTTCTCAGGTGGATTCTCCGTAATCGCCGTGGATCTCCGACACAACCTTAATTAAGGTCGTCAGAGGCTATAAACTAAACAAAAAAATGAAGATTTCCTCGTGTAGTAGTGCAATTTGAGGCCCGTTGGGACCGTGGCTGGCATTTGCCCACCGGGACTCCACGCCGACTTCTTTAGATAATCCAGTAACCAGTTCCCGTCCCCACAGACAGACCACCAATCTGCGCCTACGTACGACCACCACGGGAGCCTGCTTCATTACGATTAGCAGCTACCTAGCCGCACACCGGTGACTGTCCAGCCAGAAGTTGGACGCCGCATAGTGAGGACGACGATAGGCAAAAACAAGTGACGCCCCGAGGACAGAAACAACAGATTGATACGTAAAGGCTATATACGGCCTTGCGTAAAGGAGACATTTTTGTCGGTAGAGCGTTGGACTCCACGTGGTGAGGGCACGCGTCCCGGTTATAACAGTCCGGGTTCGATTTCGAAGCGCGACAGAGTCGCTCGATGTCTACGAGCCTCCTGGCGAGTATGGTTACGGTTGGTGGCAGGCCGTAACCAGTCGAAGTTAGTGAGGCGACCGGCCATGCGCGGCTATGTGCATACGTTAAACTTTGGGCTCTAAATTCTGCCATAGATCATGAATTGCGCGATCGGAGGGTAGAGGGCAGGGCCAACGCAACAAGCTCTGCTTAGCGGGGGCTCTGTCCTTGTGAATCCTTCCATTCAAAAGGTTCGGACTAAATTTATAAAAAAAGAATATCCGAGACACGGAGTTGGGCGCCTGAAAAGACGAAATGTAACGTATTGCTGAGCGAAAAAAAATGGTTCAGGGTCAGGTAAACAAAATAAACTTTTGATGACAGGCCAAGTAATCGGGTAGGTATCAATGTGCTCACATTGCACCCATGTTTCGTTTACACATTTGCTTTTATGTGCACTGACGCCAAAAATTCGTTTGCCTTTTGGCTATTGCCGGCCCCCCCAGTAGTGACTTTTTGCCCTGACTGGGGGGGCCAGGCCGATGACTGCGGGGGTTTGGCCCCCCCAGTTAACATGTTAGACGAGGCCTTGCCCTGCCCATCGGGCTCCTATGGCTCAGCACTGGCTGCTGCCAGTGTTGCCTGCCGTCAGCACTGCTCAGCACTGCCTGCCAGTGCCAGTGCTGCCAGTGCTGCCACTGGCAGCAGCCGGTGCTTAGCCATGGGAGCCCGATAGGTAGGGAGTGGTGGAACATCAATCTGCCCCCGAGTGTACCAATTCTACATTGAAAACGACTGGGCTTATGGCGCCCGAATTAAGTATTTGTTATGGATTGGCTCATTGCTCAAAGAGAGCCAAACGTTTCTTTTTCTCACAAATCGGCGCATAACCCATGACTAAAAAGAGCTACTGCGTCGTGGAAAAGCCGCCGAGTTCAGGTCCTGTATCATTCGTCCCCTCGGATCCAGCAGATGTCATCGAACATTTTTTTTTGTGACTGTACAGTCTACAGAGACATTACCGACCAGAAACCGTTAGGTCACACGCCAAACTACCTACATACATGCAAGACATATAAAGAGAAAAAATATGATGTCCGTTTAAATTAGAAAGAGCATCAGTTAGGGTGGGTCAATAAGGTCATGCCATGAGGATCCCTGAGAGACACTTTAACGTTGGACGCTAAAACAGACGTTCAGACGTTCGAACTAGGGGGGCATACACATTTTTTCCGCTCCCAGTTTACTGACACAGCCTGCTTACTCACCTAAACAATATTCCTAAGCCGAATAGTTGAACCTGACCTGTCCAGCCCTGCAGGCTATACCGCAAAGCACTAGTACGGTCCCCCAGCTGTAGGTGGCGACAGTGTCGCGCCGTTTGGCCGCTCTCCCGTCCGCCGGCCCTGAGCTCGCCTCGACGAGTGCTAATAAGAGGAGAAGAGGCTCTCGGTCGCAGCTGTTGGCCCACAAATAGCGCGACTCGCCAAACCCGAACGAAATATGGGCACTGTCGGACACCTACTGGCCTACTTTTTGCATACCCCGACACTCGACAGGGACCAGCGCGTGAGGAAGCGTCACCAGGCTATAGAAACGGCCTTATTTTTTGGTCAGCAGCTACAGAATCGATGTGAAGCCTATAAATTTTGGCGGCGAAATCGCTGTAAGTTACGCTCGGAGATTGCCAGGAGAGAGGACGCTGTTTCGCCCTCCCCCTCCCCCTACGGGATAAGGGTTTTGTGCAGACAATAATTGGTAGCGACAATATAGGACTCCCTGACACATGTGTCAATGCGACAATTACAATCAACGTGACAAGACGGGCTGCGACCTGACATGGCGGTTTGTGTGCCAGCTTCCAATTCATCTAGGCGGGCCAATTACGTCGAGGGACTCAGCCTGGAGAAGTGAAGACCGTGCTCGGCTCAGGGTCCACGCTGCCTGGTCGTTCGTTGCGGCACCTATCCGTGCTTCTATCCTCAGGATACAGAAATCCTTCTCCTCCACGCCGCAACCCCCTTCCGGGCTGGACAGGCAACTTTATCTCATGCGGGCTGCTCCCTTGGAGCGGCACCGCTGCTCCCGAGGGAGCTGCACCCCGTAGCCGGGTGCAGAGAGTGCTTGGGGGGCTGGTCGGCCTGTCCATTGGACGGGCTCAGCCCCGGCGACTCTCTAGGGTGCCTGCCCAGACCAATGTCTCCCCCTAATTCCTATCATCCTTCCGGCTCTGCAATGGTCTTGTCGACCGAAATGGCCTAACCCAACAAAACAAACAAACAAAGTTCGTTGCGGGCTAGACCCGCTGGTCAAACCAATAACATTTTCTGGTAGCAGGGGTCATGTGAGTTGTGGAGCCATTTCTTTTTCTGATCGTTACTGGTACGAGCTTTGGCAGCTCCCCAGTGATCACAGGTGTCGCCGTCGCGTGACAGACGGCTCCAGCCCGGCAGTTTGCATACGGCGACGTCTCCCGGCTAGCCATGATGACCCTGCAAATGAGGGCGGTCTCCGATAGACGATGACTAATTACTGTCTTATCCAAGTTAGATTCATACATAATTATATTTGAAAGACGTCGGTACTCAGCGCTTTATATCACAGGGATCGGGACCTCACCTTTTCAGCACCTCACCTTTTCTTCAAAGAACATTCTTACGGTGAAACCAATCAAATATCCTATCAAAAGTGAAAAGTGGTCAGCTACAGAAGACTCAGTAGCCGGGTTTCAATAAAGTGCCGCCACTGGCCGCTCACGATTGACCTCGATCGGGCGCCGCGGGCGATAGGCGCCGGCTGTCAGGGGGACGGGCCGCGCTCCGGCCGCCGCCGCCGGCGTGCCGGTCCCCGCCGATTTATTGGCGCGCTACGGAATGTCCGATGGCCGGCCAGTTGACCGCGCGCGGCCCTCAAACGCGCCAACGACCTCCGCAGCGGCCGTCACTCACCGCGGCCGGCGGGCTGAGCCGTCTGCTGCAGTTCATGTCCACACTGCGCCGTCCCTGTCCTCACAGCACCGTTCCTGTCCTCAGAGTACCCTGATTAAGTTGTCCACGATGCATTTTATGCCTAATCATGCTACACTCAACATCGCACTCATACGACACCTTACCGTTGC